CGGCCTCCCAAAGTGCTGGGATTATAGGCGTGAGCCACAGCGCCCAGCTCTGACTTATATTTTTTAAAAACTGGCCGGGGCCCAGTGCAGTGGCTCACACCTGTAATGCCAGCACTCTGGGAGGCCAAGGTGGGCAGGTCACTTGAGGCCAGGAGTTTGAGAACAGCCTGGCCAACTTGGCAAAACCCAGTCTTTACTAAAGATACAAAAATCAGCTGGGTGTGATGGCACACACCTGTAATCCCAGCTACTAGGGAGGCTGAGGCAGGAGAATCCCTTGAACCCAGGAGACAGAGGATACAAAGAGCTAAGATCATGCCACAAAAAAGATTACCCTGGCTACTATGTTGAGAATTGACTCCAGGAGGTAAAGGCAAACGGACGGAAATCAGGAGCTACTGAAATAATCCAGGCAAGAGATTATGGTGAAGTAATGGAGAGGTTAAGAAGTAGTCAAGATTTGCTGGCTGGACACACTGGCTCACACCTATAATCTCAGCACTTTGGGAGGCCTAGGCAGATGGACCACTTGAGCTCAGTAGTTCAAGACCAGCCTGGGCAACATAGCAAGACTTTGTCTCTACAAAAAGTATGAAAATTAGCTGGTGTGGTGGCATACACCTGTAGGTAGTCCCAGCTATTCTGGAGGCTGAGGCAGGAAGATCACTTGAGACCAGGAGGTAGACATTGCAGTGAGCCATGATCGCACCATGGCACTCCAGCTTGGGCACTGCAGAGACCCTGTCTCAAAAATAAAAATAAAAAAAAGATCTGCTGAAGGATTGGTTCACCGAGAAGCAGAAGACAGCACAGGAATAGGTTTAAGAGGGAGCAGAAATTAGTATTCTTTTGGACATGTTGAGTTTGAGATGTTTGCTGTAACTCCATGTGGGGATGTCATGTGAGCAACAGATATGCAAGTGGATGATCTGAGAGATTTAAGAGAAGGATCTATAAGATCTGATTGAATGTATAAGGGTAGGGTGAGGGCAGTAAGGGACAGAGAGCTGTCCAGGTTGTCTTCTTCATCCTCAGCTTGGTAATAAGTTGTTGAAGGCCAGGTGCAGTGGCTCACATGAATAATCCCAGCACTTTGGGAAGCTGAGGTGGGCAGATCACATGAGGTCAGGAGTGTGAAATTAGCCTGGCTGACATGGGCGAAACCCCATCTTTACTGAAAACACAAAATAAGCCTGGCTTGATGGCATGCACCTGTATTCCCAGCTACTTGGGAGGCTGAGACATAAGAATTGCTTGAACTTAGGAGGCAGAGGTTGCAGTGTACCACGAGCGCTCTGGCCTGGATGACAAAGCAAATAATAATAATAATAAGTTGTTGATAGGTCCAATGACTGAGTTGGGGAGTGCAGGAGGAAGAACAGGCTGGAATGTGAAGATGGTGAGTTTGGCTTCCAATACATTGAATTCAAGGTGCCTATGGGACATCTGTGCAGACAGCATAGTTAGTTCTATGGATCTGCAACCAGGAGATGAGGATTTAGCCTAGAGATACTGACTGGGGAGTCATCAGCATATACATGGTAATAAAGTTCAGGAGTAAATGAGATAGCCCCAGGGTGTAGATTGGTAAGAGAAGAGGATGGAAAGCAGAACTTTGAGGACTGCCAACATTTATGATATGGAAATTGGAGGCTTCTATGATTAGAAGATAAGAAGAAAATGAGAAGCATATGATGTCTTACAAGTCAAGGGGAGTATTCTAAAAAGACAAGCAGTGAGGAATTCTTTAGATTGCTTATCCTGGGGGTCATTGGTGAGGAGGCCAGAAAGGACCCTACAACTGCTCCAAGCTAGACCTTCTTTCTTAGCACCATCCTAACAGCATGGACTGGAGGATTAGGGTTTAGAAGACACTTTTTCTCCTTGTTTGCTCATTCAGACATTCATTCACATATTCGATTGCCCCACATATGACCCCCATGTGAAGAGATGAAAAGTGCTAAAGACAGGCTTTGTCATCAGAGGATCAGGAACCCAGAGGTCATACTGAACTAGATTTCAATCTCAGTTCTACTATTTAGAACATAATCTTTGATGACTCCAAAATCCCTATCTCCAGGACAAACATCCCCACTGGGCCTATATATACAATTGTCTCCTCAACATTTCTACTGGGATATGAGCCATCTCAACTTGGAAAATCCCATTACTCACCAGTCTGGGCAACATGGTAAAACCCTGACTCTACAAAAAAATACAAAAATTTAGAAATTTAGCTGGGTATAACTTGGGAGGCTGAGGCAGGAGCATTGCTTGAACCCCAGAGGCAGAGGCTGCAGTAAGCCAAGCTCACGCCACTGCACTCCAGCCTGGCACCTGGCAACAGAGCAAGACTCTGTCTCAAAAAAAAAAAAGAAAAAAAGAAGAAATTTAGCTGGGTATGTTGGTGTGTGCTTGTAGTCCTAGCTACTCAGGAGGCTGAGGGAGGATCACCTGAGCCTGGGAACTTGAGGCTGCAGTGAGCCATGACTGTGCCACTGCACTCAAGCCAGGGCAACAGAGTGAAACCCTGTCTA